TACAAACACGTATTCCTAACTCTATAGTGTTATCCTCAATAGTTAGATGATCCTCCTGAATTTATTTAAAACCAAGTGAAAAAAAGGTTTTAACTTACCTTTCTTCAAGTGCCAAGACAGACATGGTGCGTTCTGTTCTTCCCATAACGTCATCCAGCAGGCATCATTTTCTTGATTCTTGTTTGATCCAACACTCCTAATGGAGATGCACTTTTGCTGCAAGTGCAATACAAGTCCAATCATGGGATCCTCATCGGGAAACATTGAATCTAGTGCTTTCCTATGAACTGAATATGATGATATTCGATGTTCTCAAACACAGTCGTTGCAGAGGAAGCTCCTCTAATGGCTGTCAAGAAGACAGTCACTAGAATTGTGTTTAATCCTGCAACGGGAACATTGTTTTACATTGCAGAGTTAAAACTACAAGGTCACTGCACCCTGACTACTTCACTGAGATGGTGTGGTCTAGGTGCCATTAGCAGTTTTTTTCGTGTCCCCTAACTCAGCACAAATCTGCTGCAAATGTGTTTAAATATGCAGCCAACAGCATTGAATGCTGGAATAAGCATGCCAAAATTATTATTAAATATCTCACAAGCTGTTTTTTACAAATGGTTTGTCATTTGCATTTTTTACCCTCCTTGTTGGTACTCTGGACATGTGAGAGAAAGAAGAGATCTGTGTTGTGGTTTAATTCCCACTATTCTTACTAGTCTGATGTATTAACACAGTGATACGTAGCATGAACGTTTGTTTTTTCCATCCTAAGGTTTTTGTTTAAAAAAAATAATAAAATAATCTTGTTTGATCAGGAGAGTGACACACAAACAAAAAGTATGACTATCATATAATAAAAATGTTGCACAAGTTGGAATAAAAATTACCTTTATATCATATTTCTTTTTTAAAATGAGATGTTAAAAATCTACAATAATTTAATTATATTTAAATTAGAATAAGGTCCAATAAAACAGTGTAATATGTACATTTATTTTATTTAAAAAACACATAATTGCACTTTGTTTTTTTATATTATATTAAAACATGTAGATTTGAGATTTAAGTTGGGCAATCAGCAATGACTACATAAATACACATGTTGCTTATTACCTTGACTTCAAATATTTAAATGACGTGATGACAGTAAAAAACATCTAAACTACATTTAATTTGGAATTAAATAATACCATAATAGTATGGAAAAATGTGATGAATCACATACATTTTTCTAGGTTTATGTATGGTAATTATAAATAATTTGCCTGTTTACTGGTTTATTTATACTGTTTTTGGGACCATAAAAAACCCAAAACACATGTATGCCATGTGCAACAAAACAAAATGTATCAACTAAACTAGAAATAGTGTACAATTGTCAGAAAAATTGCCCACTAAATATTTTCAGGTAAATTTTGCAATGTGAGTTGACAAAAAGGCTCTGTTGTGCAAACAGTCAATTTTTATTATCAGTTGAGGAATAGTATGACTGTTTAATGATTAAATTGATTGTTAAACGTTTTCTTTTCATATATATCAACCTTACTGAAAGGAGGATGTAAAATTTCAAATTTTTCAAGCCACGTTACCTGTTTTCTTTTTTTTAGTTTCGCTATTATTTCCTAGAATGTGAAATTCATTTAAAATTTCTTTGGAATTTCTGAAAAACAGACTTGAATGATCAACCCAATATGTGTTTTTCTTTCTACTAATAGTGCATCTCACAATAATTCTACACATTCACAGAGCATTCACAAAGCATCCATGGTCATGGTGCCTGTAAAATAACAGAGACGGACACAGTCCTACCATGCCTATGGGCATTGGGTGGGGGACTTTAAAATATATAATGAGGATGGACAGTTCCCCAGCAAATGGGGGCTCTCTATTTAATACTATAAACAGGAGGGAGTGGGGACATCCTATGGTTAGGGGGGGACATCCCATGGTCAATAATCTTGTGGTGTTCAGTCTTGATAAAATCTGGACCCAATTCAGGCCCATTTGGGGCCTGAATTGTAAAATCTGGACATTTTGAACACAAATGCTTTATCTCCTTTGTTTTTGTTTATTTTAAGTTCCCTTTGAGCATTGTGATTTCTCAACACCCTGGAATTTTTTTATTTTTTTTGCTGGTTTAACCTTGGCATTACAGCTATCTTACCTTGTTTTTTTAAAAATTTGTTCAGTAATGTTTTAGACTTGATATAGGAAGGAACTCCCAAAAGCTCATCGCTATAAACTTCTGTTAGTTTCATAAAAAAGGGTATTACAATAAACTGCTAATCCTCATTATTTTTGGTAATCATTTGGTTATTATAAACAATTCACCTACTGTAGTGTTCTGTAGTGACCATCTATGCAATTAAATAAAGGGCTCTATATTATTATAGACACATTACACTATGTGTATTAGCGAATTCTCCTAGAAAAACTTTGTTGCTGGATTTATCTATATAATTGTAGATAAAACATTTTAATCTTTCCTACCATTACTGTATTATTGCTTTATGATAACTTTCAACGTCCCTTATAACAAGACTTTGTAAAGATTATTTATCATGTCCCAAGAGTAAATTGCGTTGTAAGTTCTAGATGTGATAACTGTACTATGTATAGTTCTATAAAATAATCAGCTTCTTGGAGGCAGAGATATTTGGTGATTAAATATAAATTTGTATAATTATCTCTTTCAATGCTGACACTTGAGTTCCTTTTGTGTTAATTATGTATAATTGGAAGTTAAACTGTTTTGTAATATTTTCAATTTAACAAAAAAAAATATATATAAGACAAATTGAAATGAATTTAATGTTTATCTTTGATTAAAGCATTGAAAGTAAAATAATAAATTGCAATCAATTCCATTTAACTGGAAGGGAAACATGCTACTATATAAAATATTTGTGTAACAAAAAATGTGGGGACTGCTATATTACTTTTTCTTAAGTCCAACCAATGAAGGGGAAAAAAAATCACTTAAACATATCTTGATATATTGCAGTAATTAAATATTGTATAAAATTCTCCATATTGTAGAGAGTTCATTAATCTTAAACTGCAATTACAGTTCAGGATTTATTGGGGAGAGATTTGACTTTGGCTGTGCCCCGATTCATAAGCAACCTAAAAAATGCTGGTCACATTAAAATTATTCAACACTATCTGATTGATTTTAATATCACGATGTTCTCTTTGCATCTGGAAATATTCACATCTTTTAATCTTTATTCAACAAAAAGGTTTTACTTGTGTGGTTTTATCATATTTGACTTAACTATCAGTTACGATATATTTATTGATTCAGGATTTTAATTATGCTTACAATTATATCTACGGCATGACTGATATAGACATGGACAGCAGGCTTCTGGGATTAGATGCAAAGAAAGTGTGTTAGATCTCAACTAAATAGGTAATCCAATCCTCAACTTTATGTAACTTATGCCACGAACAAAAGTACTACAATGAAAGCACGGATATTCAGGTTTGTAAAGTCTCAGCAATGTGACAACATCTGTGTAAGGCTTAAAAAGGGATACCTCTGTGGAGCCTGAGTTGTCATCTCATCCATGTCTTCCCGAGCAGTTGAGAATGTTATTGGGAAGTTAATAAATAGTGAAATAAATTATTTAGTCATAGTGGTTCTTATAAAATTCCTCTCATGATTAATAAACACATTTCTTCTAGTAGCATGTAAATGCCATGTTGTACCTCCTCTCAGCATATGGAACCTAAATCCAGTTTTAAAAAAGAAAGTCGACTCATGAAATGATTTTGGCATCATGGCGAGGTTATAATCTTGCTGCACTGAAAAGCTTGCTGTGACATTATAGTAACGTTTTATAATGACTGGGAACCAACACAGCCTCTGGGTAAACCCAACTCCCCTAATCATAGGCCCTAAGCCAGGGCTGTCCAACCTGCGGCCCCCCAGATGTTGCTGAACTACAACTCCCATGATTCCCTGGCTATCTTTTTAATTGAAAGAATCATGGGAGTTGTAGTTCAGCAACATCTGGGGGGCCGCAGGTTGGACAGCCCTGCCCTAAGCCAACTTACTAGCAAATCAAATAGTACCTACTCTCCTGAATAAGTGTCACTCAGTATACTGTACATAGCATCCTATATATACCCAGAAATACCTAATACCCATAAATACCTCCAGCTGGATATAGAAATTCAGTTTTGAATTACGTTTCAAAATAGCCCACAAGTGGACTGTGAAGCACTGCAATAAATGTTAGCATGCAATAAATCATATAAAATAATACATTCACAAATTAAAATAGACAGCCTGCAATTTATACTGACAAGGTAAACTTTGGGAAAGAACATCTGAGCTGGGAGAATAGCTAAGTTTGAGAATGTTTCCAATTTGGATATTCTAGCCTCCTGTGTTAAGCAAAGAAGCCCCAACGTCAAAATTCCACTTCAAATATAGTGCAATAAAGTATAGAACCAAAACACTAACATTTGCCCAAATCACAATTGCACTATTCAATCATTTTTGCACATTCAAGGTTCAGCATTTTTTTTTATATATAATTTTTTCTATAATTTCGATGATTTTTTTAATCCTACTTACCTCTTACTATATGTGTTTTCTTGTAAGACGCTCTTGTAGATGAAAATTAAATTATTGTTAGTTACATCTTCAGCCACATGTGTTCCCAGCTTCCTGAATTGTCTGATGAAATATAATGCTTCAAATATCAAGGATCTTCTCTAGCAACAATTTGACTGAAACCGAAATCAGATGTGACCTGTCATTTCTGCCTGACCACAAAATTGAACTTCTGGTCTTTGTTGCGTATACCCAGCAGATTGTTTTACTTTCTTACAGAATCCAGTTGCAGTGTATGAAACATAATAAAGGTACAGTACTGTACAATGATATAAAACATGCACAAAGCATAGCTATGCTACAAGAAATATCCTAATGTGTATATATAGTAATAAAACCAAATAAATTTAAATTTATAAATCGAAATAAACATAATAAATAAAAAAAATGACAGTGGATATGGGTATTTAAATAATATCACATATATACTTTTCTAAAAAGTACATCTGTAATATATAGATATGTATGTGTTTATATATTAAATTGAAATGATGTGTTTAAAGTCTGAAATGTATTTGAAGATGCGGTTTGCTATGTATATGAGACATAGCAAACCGCAAAAGGGGCCCTATTGTTAATTCGCAACTTCCTTATTTTCCATTCTTATATCATCTTAATAGCAGAACTTAGAATAGCAGAGACAGAGATATTGTTGTGTTCTACACATTATTCAATGTTGAATCCACAATTATTTTAATTTTGGCTATAAAAATAAATAAAATTCAATGCCTATAATATTTATAGTGGGTGGAAGAATATAAATTCACCTATTTCCATCTTTTCACGTTTTGCACTATATCAGTCCCTTTGCAAAAAAAAACCCAAAAGGCATTAAATTGATGTGGGCACACAGAAACATTTTTTGTCTATAGACAAACCGAGGCTGCCATTGTTTTAAGCTTAGAATGCTACATGCAAGCCAATCCGCTGTCCATGGGGCTTGCCGAATAGCCAATTCTGGCTTGGAAATTAAGCTAGCTAAATGTATTGCACAACCATTCACACTCCTATACAGACCATTACCCATAAATATTAAGTTTAGTGTAACTTTGGAGGCGATGGGATTTGAAACTGTGGGTCTGTCTTCTCAGGTGTCTGACACAGTCTCACACCACAAATTGTTCTGTTGAAACATTACATAATTGACTAATTGAATATAGCACTGCCCATATTTATTACATATCCTGTTAAAATGTAAAATCTGTTTTATTTAACAATTTTGAAACACGTTTGTTATAATGTTTTTGCTGTATGGGGATGGGTGTAATATAATGCTTCTGGTTTGGGTGGGTTAAAGGGACACTATAGTCACCAAAAAAAAGTTAGCTTCATGAAGCTGTTTTGGTGTATAGATCATGACCCTACAGTCTCACTTCTCAATTCTCTGAAATTAAGGAGTTAAATCACTGTGTTTATGCAGCCTTAGACACATCTTCCTGCAAGTGACTTACACAGCCTCCTTAAAAGAGTCATTTATTGTTTACAATTCCTTTAATGCACAGTCTATATATTTAGAATTTCTTCTACTGCACTGTTAATAGCTTGCTAGATATTGCAGGAGCATCCTCCTGGGTGTGATTATACTTCAATTTACAGAACAGGAGATAAGAATTTCTAAAGTAAGTTAACATCTGATTGAAAAGGAAATCTTTTCAGTTGTATTCTTTATTTTTTATTTGGAGGGTTAAATTGGGCTAAAAGTTTTATTTTCTCTCCTGGCATTATTCTCTGGAGTCTGTCAGAAAGCAGTTCCATTAATGATATTATTATAAGGGGATTTTTAAGCTAGCATTATAAGCTTGAAAACTAAGACAGTTGCTTCCATTGCTGTGAATGCTGTCTGTACAATTTCTTTGAATATGCCAGAGTTCTTATCTTCCATTTCAAAAACTTTGCCCAATGCATGCAGCAAGTCATGGTCATCATCCAGTTGCTATCATCACTTCATGTACAGTTATCTAACTCGGAGAAGAGGAAGATAATTTAGAATTAAAATCTACCCCCTCTTTCCACCATACACATTTTCTTTTGGACTGGAACAGAGACACTCTGGTTTGGGTGTTTGCCTTTAATTGAATGCGCTAGAAACCTATATTGTAAAAAATATTGTTTTTGATTTGCAAGAGTTTATAGAGTGTTCAGTCTGTTGATGGGATTTCTCGTGTGAAAGTGTCCAATAGAATATGTATAGCATTAGACAGAATTAAGAAATCAAATAAGATAAAGATAAAATATTGGAATTTTTGAATCTGAGTGATGCTTCCCATTCAGGAATAACTTGCATTTATAGCTCATTTATAACTGGATTAAATTTGCAATGCAAAATAATATTATTTAAAGGGACACTCTAAGCACCTAAACTACACCATCATCCCTGGGATTATATGCTTCTCTATAACTAGAATCCAATTGGCTCTCATAAGAGTAGCAGAGTCTGTTGGGATAAGCATGCCCAACAATGTATTACTGGTGAGTTTAATAGCAATTTAAAAAAAACATAATTTAATTTTTTAAGTGTGGGGCCCATTAATATATGTCCTAAATTACATACTAACATTAGTGATGTCCCGAACTGTTCGCTGAACGGTTCACGAACGGTTCGCCACGGTTCGCCATGAACGGTTCGCCACAGACTCCAGCCAGCAGACACATTCCAGCCAATCAGCAGCAGACCCTCCCTCTCAGACCCTCCCACCTCCTGGACAGTATCCATTTTGAAGCTACATTCCTAGTGAGCTGTCCAGGAGGTGGGAAGATCTGGGAGGGAGGGTCTGCTGCTGATTGGCTGGAATGTGTCTGCTGGCTGGAGTCCGTGGCGAACCGCAGCGAACCGTTCGGCGCACAGTTCGTGACATCACTAACTAACATTAATTTTTATAAATTTATTTTTAGTCTCCTTAAAAATTAACTATGCTCCACTTTTTTACCTTTACTTTTCAGTTCTCCTCAATAGCTGAAGGAGCAGAAAAGGTTCTGGGGACATTGCCAATCATATATGCAGAATAAAACATCATCTTACTTTTCCCTAAGAAATATAGAAGCCAACATACAAATATTATTTTTATATTATGATGGCATTTTGTTAATCAGCATTTCCAAAAACAGCTGACAATTCGTTAAAAATACTGACTAGAAGAGCATTTTACCATATTTAATTTAAAGTTTATGCTCTCAACTATAGTATATTATAACCTGGATATTTACTTCATCATAGTACAGGGAGTGCAGAATTATTAGGCAAGTTGTATTTTTGAGGATTAATTTTATTATTGAACAACAACCATGTTCTCAATGAACCCAAAAAACTCATTAATATCAAAGCTGAATATTTTTGGAAGTAGTTTTTAGTTTGTTTTTAGTTATAGCTATGTTAGGGGGATATCTGTGTGTGCAGGTGACTATTACTGTGCATAATTATTAGGCAACTTAACAAAAAACAAATATATACCCATTTCAATTATTTATTATTACCAGTGAAACCAATATAACATCTCAACATTCACAAATATACATTTCTGACATTCAAAAACAAAACAAAAACAAATCAGTGACCAATATAGCCACCTTTCTTTGCAAGGACACTCAAAAGCCTGCCATCCATGGATTCTGTCAGTGTTTTGATCTGTTCACCATCAACATTGCGTGCAGCAGCAACCACAGCCTCCCAGACACTGTTCAGAGAGGTGTACTGTTTTCCCTCCTTGTAAATCTCACATTTGATGATGGACCACAGGTTCTCAATGGGGTTCAGATCAGGTGAACAAGGAGGCCATGTCATTAGATTTTCTTCTTTTATACCCTTTCTTGCCAGCCACGCTGTGGAGTACTTGGACGCGTGTGATGGAGCATTGTCCTGCATGAAAATCATGTTTTTCTTGAAGGATGCAGACTTCTTCCTGTACCACTGCTTGAAGAAGGTGTCTTCCAGGAACTGGCAGTAGGACTGGGAGTTGAGCTTGACTCCATCCTCAACCCGAAAAGGCCCCACAAGCTCATCTTTGATGATACCAGCCCAAACCAGTACTCCACCTCCACCTTGCTGGCGTCTGAGTCGGACTGGAGCTCTCTGCCCTTTACCAATCCAGCCACGGGCCCATCCATCTGGCCCATCAAGACTCACTCTCATTTCATCAGTCCATAAAACCTTAGAAAAATCAGTCTTGAGATATTTCTTGGCCCAGTCTTGACGTTTCAGCTTGTGTGTCTTGTTCAGTGGTGGTCGTCTTTCAGCCTTTCTTACCTTGGCCATGTCTCTGAGTATTGCACACCTTGTGCTTTTGGGCACTCCAGTGATGTTGCAGCTCTGAAATATGGCCAAACTGGTGGCAAGTGGCATCGTGGCAGCTGCACGCTTGACTTTTCTCAGTTAATGGTCAGTTATTTTGCGCCTTGGTTTTTCCACACGCTTCTTGCGACCCTGTTGACTATTTTGAATGAA